CTTTTCTCGTGCACGCGATTGCTCGAGCACGATTAATGTCAATAACCGTTGCATTAGTTGACGGTTCGCTTCTTTCTTTACCGTACGGTTCATTCTTCACCGTATTAGCCTATCTAAAAATGGTTAAAGAGTGATCCGCGACATTCGACGATCCTGGACCACTACTCCGTGGTCGTGGGATCACGTTTGTGTGCGAGATTGCCGCCACCCTACTACACGATCCATCCATCTATCCCGTTTTTCGTATCGTGGCGTCACACGCCTGGTGATTTGCTCGCCGGAGCAAAAGATGTTCCCAATGGCTGCACCGTGTCGCCTGCATCCTCTTTGTAACGCTTTGTTCACACCGTGAAGGCAACCGGTGTCATTCTAAGGTGAGACCGTGTGTCGATCCCTTGATTGGATTGAGCCGAGCTTTTCGGATACCCGTTAAAATTCTGATCTAACGTTGTCGTTGTGGTCTAGTCGTTGCTTTTTGCATTTTTTTGAGCGCAAGGTCTCTAATATAGAGACTCGACTATATATATATATATATACGTTCGAGATAAAAAAAAAGATATTATTGGTAGAGGTATGTTGAGAAAGAATATGAAATGAGCGAAATTTCGAGGACGACGGTGGCGTGGTATAGTTGTGATGAGAGCACGCGTCGATACGACATCGGAACACGCCATAAGCTCGGCTGACGTCGCGGTGACATTTAAGAGCGAGTCGACTGTCGAGTTTCTGAAAATAATTTTTCAACCTTCTAGCAAGTATCTACCACGAGGGGGCAGCGAAGATTCGATCGAGCGGATTACCTTTGGAACTGAAAGCTTTTTCGTTATTTTAGAAACGTGTGAAAGGAGAGATTTTTAAAGTTTTAGATGTCTTTGTAAGTTTCTTTTTTTTTTTTTTTTTTAATAAAACGAACGATAAAGAAAAATTGTTGAAAAGATTGATTATAATCGTTCTTCTTTATTCATCTCATTAGAAAAATAAAAATCTTATCATATTTTGCATTCTCGAAAAGAGAAATTAAAATTTCTATATCTCTCTTCTTTCTATAATTCTCTTCTCACGAATAAAAGAAAGTTTAAATTTTTATTAGAGTAATATTAGGAAATATACTTCAAGAAAAAGATTATAATATATAAATAATAAGTAATGAAATTTTCTGTTATGTCTTAATAAAGAAACCGAGTCACGAATCGTAAATTAAATTTTAAGATTGAGATTGCATTCTGTTCACCTTATTACTCAAACCATCATTCAAATTATCTTGTGAAATAGAACGGCATTGGAAGGGATCATCGAGAGGCACGACGTTGCAACATCAAGAAAGCTTCACGTGCATTTTGTAACATTAGATCTTTTAGATCTAAAAGATTTTGCCTTCTGGCGACGCCCATATATTATTGGAAAGTTTCGTCAATCTCATTAAAATTATCATTAAAATTCATTTCAAATAATTTGTAACAAATAACGAAAAGAGATGATATTTTTATCCCCTTTGAATAATAATCGTTAGTAATGTTAGTTAGTAAATTAATTCGTTAACAGTTCAATGGAATTTCTAACTTTGTAAAGTAGAGAGAAATATTTTTATACGCGCGAGAGATTCGCGTAATCATTTATACGCGTGTATTCATCACGTTGGCGGTGAATCGAAACACGTGGTACGGAAAGTCTGGTAAACTTCTGTAATCGATGACGTTTAAAACAGTGGCTTAAACTGTTACGTTACCGATTTGTTACCGAGAATCGACGTTATATATATATATATGATAATTTTAAATTGATGAAACATAGTTAATTTTTTAATATCATTATTAAATACGTTGATTTGAAATTTGTAATACGATATCAGAGTAAATAAAAAGATAAAAATATACCTATTTTATTAGAATATAAAACAAAATATGTTTAAAATTCATCTTTTTTTTTAATTTACAGTATTAATGTATTAAAAGATATTATGCGTAAAATTATATATAAAAAAAAAATTATAAAAATATTGTATTAGTATAAATACAGATTATTATTAAATATTATTAATATTCTCTGTTCATCATTGTTTCTTATTTAATTTTTTAATTTTAATTCAATATGTAATATCAAATTTACGAATGGATACATTAGCAACAGAACACTTTAAATATTTTGAAGATAGGAAATGAATAAAATCGGACTCACCATGGGGGGTGGAGACAGTGCCAGCCTTCTTCATTTTCGTATTCCACATAGCGGGATTAGTGGGTGCAGGGCTGAGATCAGGAGTCGGTGGATGAGCAAGCGGCAAACGCACCATGGGGGGTCCAATTTGTCCTCCAGGCTGCATGTGATCCGAATTCGAACCATAATGACCACTATCGAACCCCCTTCCCCCGGTATATACTTCGCCTGACAATCTTTCTGCCAGTTTTTCCGCCCTTTCCCGGTCGGTCATTGCCACTGGTTCTTGCTTTATTCGTAGATCTGCGCAAATATATGAAATATAAAATAATATAAAACACATAATTGATATCTTTGAATTCAAGATTCACTTCACTTTTTGATTCCATTGATTTGTTAAATTATTGTTACTGTTAACTTTGAATAATTTTTCCAAAATTTGAAAAAAAAACTGACAAAATAGAAATAAAGAAAAATAGAAATAAAAAGAAATTAAGAAATAGAATTTGAAAATAAAGATATAATTTTAGTGATATAAAATAAAATTTGAAAATAAAAATATAATTTCAAATGAATGTAAAATAATATAAAATACATATTTTTGAGTTCAAAATACTTCACTTTTTGATTCCACGTTAAATTGTTGTTAACTTTGAACAATTTTTCCAAAATTTAAAAAAAAAACTGACAAAATTTAAGAAATAGAATTTGAAAATGAAGATATAATTTCAAAAGAATGCAGAATAATATAAAAGACATAATTGATTTCAAGATATTTCAATTTTTGATTCCACATTAAATTGTTGTTACTGTTAACTTTGAACAAAAC